GGTTGATAAGGCTGGTTATAGGGAAGATTTGGGGGCTCCTGGGGGAAGAGGTTTAGGGAGCAAGGCAGATTATATGGATGGTTTAGAAGGTTCTGGAGAAATGGGGTCAGAAGTTAAGGCAGGTTATAGAGAAGGTTTAGGGGCTCCTGGGGGAAGGGGTTCAGGGAGCAAAGACTATAGGGCTAGTTTGGTGGGTTCTGGGAAAATGGGGTCAGAAGATAAAGCAGGTTATAGAGAAGGGTTAGGGGCTCCCGGGGGAAGGGGCTCAGGGAGCAAGGCAGACTACGGGGATGGTTTAGGGGGTTCTGGGAGGATTCCATTAGGGAGTGAGGCAGGTTATAGGGACTCCTTGGGGGGAACTGGGGGAGTGGGGTCGGGGAGTGAGGTCAGTTACAGGGCAGGCTCAGGAGGGCCTGGGGAAATGGAGCCAGAGGGCGAGACGGGCTGTGGAGAAGGTTCAGGGTGGTTTGGGGTACCAGGCTCACTGGCTGGGGCGGGACATGAGGCTGGACCCAGAGGCCAAGAAGCTGCCAGGCACAGGTCAGGATACCGGGCAGCGTCAGAAGGTGGCGTGAGCTCCGAGGAGGGGCCGGAGAGGGCCAGAGGAAAGGGGCTTGTGGATGGGGCAGGCCCTGGACCGGGCTCTGGGGTGGCTGGCATGCTGGGCACTGCAGGCGGCACAGCACACAGGGACAGACCCAGGGTCCCAGAGATGCCGGAGACTCAGGGAGGGCCACAGACTCTTCCAGGTGGGTGGGGGGCCACCAGTGGTCTTAGGGGCGACGGAACCTCAGGGATCCCCGAGGCCTTGGAGGCTGCTGGTTCCAAGGGTGGTTCTGGGATTCCAGGGTCTTCTGGGGACAGAGGGGCTCCCCGGGGGAAGGGCAGGTCTGCAGACCAAGCAGGGAATAGAGGGGCTTCTGGGTTACTTGATGGTAAGGGGGCCGCGGAAGGTGAGCCCTGGGTGGGGGTGGATGTTTTGGGGTCTAGACCTGAGCGGGACTTCTGGAGACCGGGCCCGGGAACAGCAGACAAGGGTAGAATTCCTGGCCCGGGTGGATTGGCTCCTCAGGGAGGCGGGGACTCAGTGCTGGGAGGCAGGAGGATGGGAGCAGGTTCGGGGAGCTCAGCGGGGGCAGGTCAGGGCCTGGACGGCGGCTCCATGCCCAGTGGAAGGGGCACGTCAACGCCAGGGCCTGCCGATGGGCGAGGGGGGAGCAGCGCTCGGGCCCCAGGCCGGGAAGACCAGGGCTTTGGCCAGGGCAGCGCGGGTGCCGGGGGCCGACCCTCAGGCTCCAGGGCTGCCAGCTCCCTGCAGGGGAAAGGTGCCACTGTCAGTGGGACCCAGGAAGGGGCAGGGGGCTTTAAAGGCAGGGAGGGTCCACCAGGCCAAGAGGCAGCTGGAGAAGGTCAAGGCCCATGGTCCCCGGATAGCAAAGGTTCAGGTTCTGGGAGGGGCGGGTCTGGTGGTGCAGAGGACTCAGGTGACCTGGGCAAAGGGAATTCCACTGAGTGGGGGAATGGCCTCACCCCAAAACCTGGGGAGCGAGGACCTCGGGGAGCCTGGAATGGCTTAGACAATCCCTTGGGCAGAAAAGGCTCTGGAGCCAGGTCAGGAGGGGTCGAGGGCCTGAGCGCTCAGCCAGGCCAAGGACAGAGAGGAGGAAGCAGGTCCCTCGGGGAGCAGGGGTCCCTGGAGGCTGAGAATGGCAAGGCCCAAGGTCCCAGGGCCCTAAAGGAGAACGAGGGGTGGGGACCGGAAAAGTCTGGCAGGCCAGACAGGAGGCCCGGTCCACGCCAGAGCAGGTCTCGAGCACAGTCAGGGGCTGAGGTTGGAGCAGCCGAGAGAGGGAGCGTGCACGAGGCCAGAGGCACGGGGCAGCCGCCTGCAGGGGAGACCCGAGGGTGCCCAGGGGAACCTCCATGTGAACACCGGAGCCGGGAGCCCCCAAGTCATCTTGGCAGCAGGAGAGGTGGCAAAGAGGGCCGGCTGGACGTCTATGGCCAGGGCAGAGATGCCACCCAGAGTCCCACGTCCAGATACAAGCCTGGGACTGGCAGCTTCTCCACGGAGGCCCGAGGTAGGTACTTCTCAGCTGAGCTGGCTCCAGAGGGCTCCAGCCAACTGTGGCGCCTGGACACTAGGGTGCTGGGTCAGTCCCGGTTCTGCCCCCAGCCCCAGGAGTCTGTCCCTGCCAATGCACCCCATTTTCAGGAATTTAAAAAAAATGTCAGGGCCGGGTGCAGTGGCTCACGCCTGTAATCCTAGTACTCTGGGAGGCCGAGGCGGGCGGATTACTCGAGGTCAGGAGTTCGAAACCAGCCTGAGCAAGAGCGAGACCCCCGTTTCTACTATAAATAGAAAGAAATTAATTGGCCAACTAATATATATAGAAAAAATTAGCCGGGCATGGTGCGCATGCCTGTAGTCCCAGCTACTCGGAGCTGAGGCAGGAGGTCACTTGAGCCCAGGAGTTTGAGGTTGCTGTGAGCTAGGCTGACGCCACGGCACTCACTCTAGCCTGGGCAACAAAGCAAGACTCTGTCTCAAAAAAAAAAAAAAAAAATTCAGAAGCAGCTCTTTCCTCCTTGTGCAGTTGGGATAGACCCTGCGTGAGGCTCAGATCTCCTGGGTGTGTGATCTTGAAACCCGACGTCCAGAGTTGTTGGCCTAGCTCTCTAGGGGTCACCTGGACTTCCCACCCGTGTGACTCAGTGGGCCTCCTCACCCACCTTACACCCCAGATCTCCGGCACCAGCTCGGATCTCTCAGGCCCCGCTGAGAAAAGCAGGAGGCTTGGCTTGGCTGGCGTGGGCAGAGCCCTGTCAGTGGCACCATGGTGTCACCATGGTGGTCTCCCAGGGTGCAGCACTCGGCCTTGGGGACTCCCTCTGTGTCTCTCCACACCCTGCAGGCCACTTCTCTCAGGGCCTGGCTGACACAGAGGTGCGGCTGGGGGAGCCGGCCACTCTCTCCTGCACCCTCACCCGTGACCTGGGACGCGGCGCCTGGTTTAAGGACGGAGTCGAGGTACCTCCACCCTTACACCTTCCCTGTACTGGGGGCGGGACAGGGGTAAAGCGGAAAGGAAGGGGAGAGTAGAGGTTTTGCAAGAAAGACTTTTCATTTCTCTCAAGTACCCACTCTGGGAGGAGTTTAAATGGCCAGCAGCAGCTTGGTGCGTTTAAGATAAGAGTGGATTTTTATAAAATGTTGTGTGCGCTATTCACACCTCCCTCAGCAGGGCATGCTCTGTTCTTCCTGCACTCAGAATGCCTCTCTTGTACCCACACCTGCCGAATTCTGCCCGTCCTTCAAGGCCTGGTACAAATGCCACCTTCTGGCCCCTCTGCCCTCCGCTGCAACTGCCACCTGGGGAGGAGACACATCACAGCCATTCAGATCGTGGGCCTTGGCATCAGCTACCGTGTTTTCCCCCAAATAAGACAGGGTCTTATATTTATTTTTCCTCAAGAAGACCCCCTACGGCTTATTTTCAGGGTGTGTGTTATTTTTTTTAAGTATGGTGCAACCATTTGCATTTATTCAAATATAGTGAAGTCGTCTTCTTCTGGAACATCATCATCACTCTCCAAACCCCGAATTCCATGCTGAATCACTTGCGACTCTATTTCCTTTAGAGCCATTGGCCCCCATCTCTCACGTCGAGCAATAGAGCTCTCATGGGGCAGATGAGAAGGGCTGCTCATCTTTCCCGCTCCGCGACGACATGCACGGGTTGTGCAGACTCGCTGCGTAGCCACGCCCGTCACTAGGTCTTATTTTCGGGGTAGGGCTTCTATTGCGCAACTGCTCAGAAATCCTGCTGGGGCTTATTTTGTAGGTAGGTCTTATTTTCGGGGGGAACACGGTAGATCTCGGTTCAGATCCCAGCTCGGTCACTACCAGTGGCGTGACCTTCCTCAAGTCACAGAATGTCCTGGTTTCCTCGTCTATGAAATGACACTAATAGCAGTGCCTACTTGGTGAGGCGGTGACAAGCCAGGAACTAAGCGTGGAGCACATTGGACACACATTGGCACAGGACGAGCATTCGGCTCACATCTTATTAGCACAGAGTCCAGCAATTACGTCAGCAAACGGCCGTGGGTAGCTGGCCTGGGGGAGCCACCAGGGTGGGGTGACCTTCCCCTGCTCTGGCTCTGGTCTCCAGCTCACCACCCGGGACGGAGTTGTCTTTGAGCAGGAAGGTCTCGTGCACAGACTCCTCCTTGCCGGTGTGCAGGGGACCCAGGCCGGGAGGTACACCTTTGTCGCCGGCAACCAGCAGAGCGAGGCCACCCTGACCGTCCAGGGTGAGGCCCAGCCCTGCCCCTCCCTGTCCCACAGCCTCTTTGTCCCAGGTGACAGCTCCATTTCCAAACCCCTGCCTGTGCGGCCGGTCTGCAGCCAGTGTCTCATCTCCTCCTCGGTCTGAGGATGTGATTTTAAAAGCCAACCCACACCTTCCCTATTCCAGCGTCTTGTCCCCTTCCTTGCCGGGAAGTCCTCGGGGAGGTCTAATCCTGATCCCTCCTGCTGCAGATGGAGCCCACTGCCCTCCTTAGTCCCCGGGAAGTGGGGTGGAGGGTTTCTTACTCTTAGCCCCAGATTCCCTCTCTAGATGCTTCTTTCTGCATCTCCCAAGGGCCCCAGTGCCCTTGTCTTCTTTGAGTCCCTTGCCTTGTTTTATCTCCAGATCCGCCCACCATTGCTCCAGACGTGACAGAGGAACTGCGAGAGCCCCTGCTGGTCAAGGCTGGGCGGCCGGTGACGGTGAAGATACCCTTCCAGAGCCGCCTCCCCGTCCAGGCTGCCTGGAGGAAGGACGGGGCCGAGCTGGTGGGCAGCGGCAGCACCCGGGGCGCCCAGGTGGCCCTGGGGGACGGCTGGGCGCGGCTGTGCCTCCCCAGCGCTCGCAGGAAGGACCGTGGCCAGTACAGCGTGACGCTGGCCAGCCAGGGAGGCTCTGTGCAGGCCACACTCACCCTGCAGGTCACAGGTGCCAGCCTCAGCCCCTGCCCAGCCACCGCCCCAGGGCCCCTGGGGTTGCAGCCCTCCCTGCCAGCAGGGGCAGGCCGGGGTGGGGTGTCTGAGGGCTCTGGCCCTTGTGTGCCTGCTGTTTCAGGTCCAGACCCACCGCTCCCCACCCTCTCTCCCCTCCCCACGCTGGTTAGGAAGAGGCAGTTTAGGGAAACAAAGGGCTGGGCTTCTGCTGGTGGGGGGAAGTGGTTGCGCTTTGCTGACCCCAACCCACTGGGCCGTGGGAAGTGGCCAGGTGGGACGGTGGCCCCCAGCCTGGTGTGGTGCCAGCAAGGCCAGACTCCTGCAGGCCGAGCAGTACCCATTCCGGCCACGGAATGGCGGGGCTGGCGTGGGCTGGTGGGTCCTGTGGCACATCCCTGAGTGTACTGTGCGGGTTGGGGGTAGAGCCCAGGGCCTGGCGTCTCGGGAACCATGCGGACCTCGGGCCGCCCACCCCGCTGTGGGCTTGTCCACTGACGGGAGGGAGACCAGCACCAACCCCCCCACCTCCTCTGACCCCCTTCTCTCCCTGCCCCTCCCGGCGGGTCCCAGACAAGCCCGAGCCCCCACAAGGCCCCCTGGAGGTGCAGGATCTTCCCGGGGCTGGTGTCTGCCTCTGCTGGCGGCCCCCCAGGGACGACGGGGGCCGGGCTGTGCAGCACTACGTGGTGGAGCGGCGACAGGCGGGCCGGAGCACCTGGCTGCAGGTGGGCGAGGCCCCGGCAGACAGCACCACCTTCACCGACACCGGCGTGGAGCGGGGCCGGAAGTACGCCTTCCGCGTTCGGGCAGTGACCTCGGAGGGGGCCGGCGAGGCCCTGGAGTCTGAGGAGGTGCTGGTGGCTCCTGAGGGTGAGAGAAGGGGCTGGGGCTGGGAGCACCCCGGGCCCCACTGTGCCCAGAGGGGCAGGTCTGAGCGACACCAGCCCGTGACCGGGGGTGGCAGGCCCTTCTGGGGCACTCTGCAGACCCCTAGCCCTGCCACCTCTGGGATCTGGAAATGAGGTTTATTTGCGGGGTCCTGGGGCTGAGGGGCTGGGCAGGCAAAAGCCCTGTCAGGACCCAGGGAGGGACCAGCATCTGCATCCATCGGCCACCTGCGGACTGGGGCGTCCTCTTGGGACGAGAGGCTGAGCGGTCTCAGGACTGGCTCTCGTCCTCTCCTGCACCAAAGTGCCATCCCTGTCCCATCCCTCCTGCCCCCGAACGGCCAGAACAGTGTCCCGGACACGGGCTCAGCCCCAGCGTGCCCAGGAGAGGCCGGAGGGTGGCCTGTCCCCAGATGTTCGGCCCTGGCTGAGCGGCGCCTTCCCCGCCCCCAGCTCTCCCCGGGGCCCCCTCTGCCCCGGCCGTCCTGTCGGCCTCCAGCCGGGGCATCACGCTGACGTGGACGGCGCCGCGGGGCCCGGGCAGCGCCCACGTCCTGGGCTACCTGGTTGAGAAGCGCAAGGCGGGGAGCAGCACCTGGACGGCGGTGAACGACCGGCCCGTGCCTGGTGAGCCGGCCCGGGGAGGGGCCCTCGTTTGCTCCCTTGGCACTGGCGGTCCAGATCGGCTTGATACAGCGGGTCTCATCTGGGGTGGGGCTGCCCCCTGGGGAACATTTGGCAGCGTCTGGAGACGTTCCTGATTGTCACAACCGGGTGGGGTGGAGGCTGCCGGCCTCCAGCGTGAAGAAGCCAGGGAAGCCGCTGAGAACCTACCGCACACGGGACGGAACCCGTCCCCATATGAAAAATTTAAAAAAATAATAATTATCTGGCAAAAACCATCAATTGTGCTGAGGCTGAGAAGCTCTGGTTTAGGAGAGGGCTGGCTGGAAGCCAGGAGTGAAGCTGCTGGCCTTGGCCCCTCCACCGCTGGCCGTGACCTTGGGCAGCTCACTTCCCCTCCAGAGCTCAGTTCCCTCATCCAGGAAGTGGAGACGAGGGTCCCCTGCCCACTTAGTAGTTCGCGCTTCTGTGCTCTGCATGTGCATCGGAAGCCGGGGTCCGTGGAGGGGAGGGCGGCTTGGAACAGCGTGTCTCGAGACCTGGGTGGGGTCTGGCCACGCTGTGCCACGTAGGAGCTCGGGCCTCGGTCTCCTCATCTCTGGATGAGCTAGGGGCCTCCTCCCAGCTTCAGCAGTCAGCCATCCTGTTTTATTTGCATACGGCAGCGACTCTGCAAGGCAGAGGGAACAGGAGGGAGCGAGGCGCTTGCCCAAGATCACCCGGCAAGTCAGCGGCAGAACCAGATAGGGACTCGGGGTCCCGGACACCCTGAGAGGCGCTCTTGTCCCCTCGGAGAGAGCAGGGGAGCTGGGTCACGCCTGGCTGGGGGAGGACGGGTTAGGCCCCCAGGCTTGGTCTTCCCCGGAGCCCAGAGGCACCAAGCTACCTCCCCGTCGCCCAGTCCCGGCAGGGCGGGACTGACGCCGGGCGGGCTGTTCGCAGACAGGAGGTGGATGGTGGTGGACCTGCGGCCGGGCTGGCAGTATGAGTTCCGGGTGACGGCGGTGGCTCCCTCGGGCCCTGGAGAACCTGGGCCCCCTTCGGAGGCTGTGTTTGCCCGGGACCCCATGAGTAAGTACGGCAGCAGCTCGGGGAGGGGTGGGGTGGGGTTGGGGAGGGGGCAAGCACGGGATAGCTCTGGAGCTGGCTGGGACAGGACAGGGGTCACAGGTCAGGGGCAGGCCTGAAGCAGTGGTCAGGAGGGCTGGAAGGTAAAGGTGGAAAGGCTGTCAGGCCAGGCACGTCTCAGGGCCAGGCAGTGGGGATTAGAAGACTCCTTCCAAGATCACTCACTCTTTGGCTGCTAAGCTGGTCTGTCCCCAAGCTGGCCTGCCTGTCTCAGTCTGACAGCCGCCCACTCACTCCAGTGAGGAGTCACATCCCCAAGGGGGGTGGAGGCCGGGTAGCAGAGAAGCCTCAGTCTCCGTTCTCTGTCTGGCGAATATTTGCCCATCACCTGTTAGGCGGCCACTTTGTGCCAGGAGCTAGGGGAGTCGGCCCTGGTCTCTGCCCTTGAGAAACCGACAGTCTAGGACAGCACTTCCCTGTCTGTGCTCTCGGGGACGTCAGTGTACGCAGAGATGCCAGCAAACATTCTGAGGACAAGAGAGACAGCCAAAAAGGTCTGTGATCAAAGACGTGCATGACCCGAGTCTGTGATAGTTCCAAGTTCTGCAAGGGAAAAAAAAAAAAAAAACCCCAAAAAACAAACCAAAACCTGTCTAACTTTCTTTGATCCAAATCTCCCAAATTTGAGTAGAGAATACCTTTTCCACGAAATACCCGCTTAAAAACATCACTCCCAGGGGTACAACTTAGAAAATGCTGCTCTGTGTTCCTCATCCCCTTACGAGCAGAGAAGGGGGCAGAGCATTTCTGGCAACTTGCTGGCTCGGCCAGGTAGCAAAACACCTCAAGAGCATCTTGGGGTCCCACGAGGCCTGGCACACTCGAGGTGTGCAGGCTGCTTGAATGAACCCCACGAGAATAGGACGTTCTGCAAGTCTGACTGTTCGAGCGGCATCTGAGTCTTGGTCCTAGGAAGGCCGGAGCGTGGGAGGGAGGGATGGAGGAGGAAAGCTGGGCCACGCACCGGATCCCTTGCAAGTGGACAGACCTATCCCGTTTTGCTGTCCTCTCTCTCTTACCAGTAACGGGGAATGGGGACCGCAGACAGGACGGGCAGCGCCCCGCAGTAGCCCCAGCAACGACTACATTTCAATGATTCTTGCAACTAAGCAAGGCCCGTGGCCTGGCAACGCCACCTGGGAACTTACTAGAAATGCTGAATCTTAGGGTTGACCCCAGACCTACTGAATTAGGAGCTGTATTTTTTCACAAAATCCCCAGGGAATTTGTCTGCTAATTCAAGTTTGAGAAGCACTGCCCTAGACCAGCAGCTTTCAAACTTTGCTGCATATGTAGGAACACCTGGCGAGCTCTTAACATTCCTGCTGCCCAGGCTGCGCGCCCCGGACTGATGAAATCAGAATCCCCAGGGGTGGCGTCGAGGCGCCAGGATTTTTAAGCTCCTAGGTGATTGCAAAGCGCAGCCAGGCTTGGGGGGCCAGAGCCGTGGACGGCTGTGCCGTTTCCAAAGCCCCTTCACACCCGCCACGCCCTTTGCCTATGCCCAAACGGCTGTGCACAGGCGGGGCCGTTGTTACTGCTCCTGTTTGACAGGTGAAGAGCAAGGAGCCTGCGTGGAGGGCCCAAAAGGCAGAGTCTTGACTCCAAGAGCTCGGAGTTCACAACAAAAAGGACATAGAATTCTAGCATTTAGGGATAAAGGAGCCCAAGAGTTTTTCGGTTTTCAGGGATCCCAGAAGGATGGTTAGGGGAAGAGGCTTGGCAGGTGGGGGAACGGGTGGCGGGAGTAGGGGAGGCTTCCTGGAGGAGGCAGCCCGGGGTCTGCGTGCACAACAGAGGCAGAGCACCGGCTGGAGTGAGGGCTTGGCTCCAGGCACCCGGGTGCTTCAGGAAGGTCTAAAGGCAGAGTCACTAAGAAACCCCCAGACTCCCTGGAGGAAGGCTGATGAATATCTGCGCTGAGTGGCCTCCCCTGGAGAGGGTGACGCCACTCCTGACATTCCCCTGGGGCCCGGCCAGGACCTCCCGGGCCCGTGCGGAATCTCCAAGTCACAGACACGTCGAGCACCAGCGTCACCCTGAGCTGGGCCGGACCGGACGCCCAGGATGGGGACGCCGCCCAGGGCTACGTGGTGGAGCTGTGCCGCTCAGACAGTGTCCAGTGGGTCCCGTGCCACACGGGCACCGTGCCCACCACCACCTACACGGCCAAGGGGCTTCGGCCCCACGAGGGCTACTTCGTGCGCGTGACGGCGGTTAATGAAGGAGGCCAAGGCCAGCCCGTCGCCCTGGACACGTTGGTGCAAGCGACGCCCACTACTGGTCAGTGCCACCTCTGTCCCTGCCCCCGAGCCCCGCATGCCCTTCCTGAGAGGCACCGCTCAGCGGCCCGGCCACCAAGCACTTGCAGAGCCACGATCCCTTCCCCAGTTTCACGAAGCGATATTTACTGAGCGCCTACTATGTGCCAGGCACTGGCTTAGGCAGGCCCTTTTTGGAGGCGTCTTCTCATTTCGACTTACAACAATCCTACAAGGTCAATATTTTTATCCCCAATTTACAGAGAAGGAAACTGAGGTCCCAGGTACTTTGCCCAAGGTCTCACCATGGGTATGTGGCAGAGCCGGGATTTAAGCCTGGTGACTCCAAAGGTGGTGCTCTCTCCAGGACAGAGAGTGACGGTTTCCCCGGGGCACGGCCCCAGGAGGCACAAGCACGCTCAGCTCACTCTGTTCGCGCTCAGAATGAGACGTGCCCGGCTCCCTGTTGTCTAGAGGAGAATCGTTTCTCCAAAGCTTTGGGCTTTAATTGCTAGAAGCAGCTGACCTGTCTTTGACCCAAGCTGGCACTGGGCCACCCAACTCACCCTAGTTGCCACCGTGACAATGAGGGAGATGTGTACACAGCACATCGCCCAGAATCCCAGAATCTGTCCCTAACTCGGTGTGACCTCAGGCAAGTCACTCCCTGACTCAGATTGCTCATTAGTTCTCTCATCTGCAAAGCAAGAGAGCCCTACCACACAGCACTGCCTGTGTTCCAGCCCGTCCCTGACCCTCTCCCTGGGGTGTCCCCTCCTCAGCTCCCGTCCGTCTCCTGCTGGCAGCTCCGCACCAGCTGCTGGGGTCCCCGCAGGACTGTCCTCCCAACTCCCCTCCGGTTCCTTCAAAGCCCCAGTCCCTTGGGATCTCAGCATCAAATAGCCTGGCCCAGCCTTCCCCTCCTGCCCTGCCCTGGGGGCCTGGGGCTGGGGCCCAACTGCAGAAGGCGGTGACCAGCCGTCTTGTGTGTTTCAGTCTGTCCCAAGTTCCTCGTGGACTCCCGCACAAAGGACTCGCTGTTGGTCAAGGCTGGGGACACCGTCAGCGTGCCCGTCTCCTTCGAAGTGAGTGTCCTTCCAGGGGGGTGGGAGGGGAGTCGGGAGAGGCCAAGGGAGCCAGACGCAGCCCTGCAGTTCTCTTTCCCACCCTGCTCCTTTTTGACCCCTAGTCAGTGACCTGGGCTCGCGCTGGACATCAGGCCAGACATGAGAAAGGAAAGATCAGGGTCCTTCTTGAAGGTACAGCCCTCACCTGGCCACGGGGCGGCCATTGTGCTCCCGGGCTACAGATCCTCCTAGTGGTGGCTTCTGGTAGTGCACCTCCAAACTAGAGCACTCACTTTTCTCCGCTTGTCTGTAGTCTGGGACTTCAGGGGGCCTGCGGTGTAGATAATCCCCTTTGACTTCAGAATGCATTTTTGTGCAAACATACGACCTGCAATTGACTCAGGATGATCCCCAATCAACAGCAACACCACCTGCACGTACAGCATGGTGGTTAAAAGTACAGACTGCTTGGGTCCAAATCCCAACATCAGCACTCACTAGCTGTTTGACTTCGGACAAACAACACAAACCGTTCTGTGTTTCAGCTTCTTCATCTTTCCAATAGGATAATGGCAACCTATATCAAAGGGTTGTTCTGAGGATTCGAGCAGTTAATACATTGAAAGCACATTAACAGGGCTGGCATGTAGCAAGCACCCAGTATGTCATTATTATTATATAATGATTATGTATAATAATAATAATCATTACCACCATTATTATTATTTAAAACCATCATCATCATCATCATCATTATCATCTGTGTAGGAAGCTCATAGGTGTCAGAGCCAGATTCCAACCCAGATCTGTCTTCCTCTGAATTACTTGTTCTTAACTATTAGACCTTAATAGCAACAATGATAATAATGGCAAAAGTATTTCATGCACACTGAGTGTTCACTATGTCCTAGGCCTGTTCTCTGTGCTTCCCATGTGCAATTAGCTCCTTACATCCTCAGAACAGCCCCCTGAGCTAAGTCACTGCCAGCATGCCCATTTGACTCAGATACCCAGTGTGCCCAGTACCAAGGGCCCTACAGGGGGTGGGGGGCATGGTCACCACTCGGCCAGGCTCAGGGTCGCCACGGTTCAAGGCCAGGTCACCATGATCTCCTTCCTGGACTATGCAGGGGTTCCCACGTCCTCCCCTAGTTGGTCTTGGGCACTCCCCTCCCTCCTCGCTCCCCTCCAGCACCTGCCCCTCATGTCAATCCAGAACTAATTGTGTTTTCCTGCTCAAAATCTTACAACAGCAGCTCGTGGCTTTCAGAATAAAATCCAGATGTCTGTGTGGTGTGACGTGGAGACCACGTCACACGCCAGCCTGACCTCCCCGTCCAGCCTTCCTTCCTGTTCCTCCAGCCCCGGCGACACCTCCCTGCCAACCCCACACTTCGTCACCACGGCTCCACCAGCCTGTTCCCCAACGAGCACTTTCCCACCTCTGTGTGTCACACCCCGACCTCCTCCTCCTAGAAGGCTCTTCTCACCACGTCTGCCTTAGGCCAGCTTACATGCCGGCACAGCCCTTCTCAGCCTTCCCTTCCTCTTGTCCCCAGGCTGCCCCCATGCCCAGGGTGACCTGGCTGAAGGATGGCTTGCCCTTGCCCAAAGGAAGCGTGACTACCACCAAGGACGGCCTGACACAGCTTCTGATTCCCGTGGCCAGCGTCTCGGACAGCGGCCTCTACACCGTGGCGCTGAGGAGCCTTCAGGGGAAGGAGGTCACCCGCAGCCTCCGTGTCAGGGTGGCAGGTGAGGCGGGCCTGGCTCTGGGCGCCGGGCGCTGGCTCAGCCACCCGAGAGGCATGGAGGTTTCCACCTGGCAGGGTCCTAGTGTCAGCCGTCTTACAAGGGCTGGGTGTGCAAGGTGACCCCACTGTCCCCCTTCCTATGTGCTTGGAGGCAGAAAGGAGGAGAGGCCAGGAAGACTCCCTGAGGGGCTTTCATTGTTCTTCTGTGTCAAGAACTTAGGGACAGTCTCCCACTCAGTTATTCTTCTCTGTGAGTCAGTGAGCGAAGGTGGGCACCACGGCGAGATCACCGGAAAGGCCAGTGGGCAGGACGGTCTGTGGCCCTTGCAGGAGATAAAGGCTGTCCTTGCGGACTGCAGCCCCCAAGCGGCCCCCACCTCGCGGGAGGAGTTCCTGGATACAGGAAGCGATGACATAGGCCAACAGTGGGGTTCTGTAACTTGGTTTCCTGAAAGCCCCCACCTGTGTCCAAAAGAGGACATGTCCTGTGTCATTTTACTTAGAAACTAGAGTGAATTAAAATCATTCTTTTGGGGGAGATTTTGCACCCTCTAGAGATAACCGCAGACCCCCGGCCAAGCTCGCTCTGGCTGCAGCTACCTCCCGTGGCAAGGCTGCATGTCCCACGACCCCCAGAAGACTTGGGGACCCCGGGAGGACCACGCAGCAGTCCCACTGGGTCCCCTCAAAGCTGGGCTCTATTGCCGTTCTGAGGTGTCGGCAGCGGGGCAGTGGGCCATCGCTGCAGAGAACGTGCCGGGCCCATGGTGACGGGCGAGTGGGCCTCCGAGATGGCGGGCGGCGTCTCGCTGCACTACGCCGTGCACACGCGCCGCTCCGGCCGAGGCCCTGGCGCATGCGACGGTCACCCAAGCTTCACCCTCTGGCGTCCTCCCGGCCACGGTACATTCGGTGGTGGCAAGATGAGTGGGGGCCGAGGCCTCGGACACAGAGCCTGGTGATCCCCGGCGGAGCGCGTGAAGCGTCGGAGAAGCGGCGGGTGGGCGGTGTGCTGCGCTGGGGCAGTGGGCACAGAGGTGCCCAGAGGTGGCGGAGCTGCAGGTGGGAATGAGGTGCGCTGCAAACATGGCCAAATGAAGAGCAGTTGCTCTTTCCACTGCCTGATGTCTGTGATCACCTCACCGGCAGTCTCGATCGTAGGGAGAGGGCCGACGACAGAGTCGGGTGTTGGGAGCTGTGGTGCGTTTAAAAGCAGGTGATGAGGGGGGCGGTGGTTCACGGCTGTAATCTAGATTGGGAGGCGGGAGGATTGCTTGTGAGCTCAGGGGAGGTTCAGAAGCCTGAGCAAGAGTGACCATGTCTCTATTAAAATAGAAAGAATTATGCAATAAAAAAGTATATTAGAAAAAATTAGTGTGGCATGGTGGCATGCTGTAGTTCCGCATAGGAGTGAGGCAGGGAGGATCGGTTGAGCCCAGGGAGTTTGAGGTTGCTGTGGCTAGGGTGACGCACGGACTCTGGCCAGGGCAAAGGGCAGACTGTGGTTTTCAGAAAAACAAAAAACCCACCAAAACCAAAAAAAAAAAAAGCGAAAAACAAAAGCAGTGATGACAACAAGGCAAATGGAAGCTAACGTTTCTCTGAAAATGTTTGTTAAGGCAACAGATGTGGATCTTAAGAGTCATAGAAAATCATATAAAATAGATACATGATTTATTTTTAAAATACGAAGATGTCTGGAAGATTCTACACCAAAATGTAAGCTGCACTCTTTTTGTAGTGAGCTTATGATTGGTTTTTATTCTTTCTCCTTTTGTTTTTTATTCTAATTTGCACATTGTTAATGTGTAGTTAAAAAAAATCCAAAAAAGTTTAGGAAAAGGATATAAAATGAGTCAAGCCTTGGGGTTCACATTTGCAGGTAAGATGTGGCAGGAGCGGCGGTCACGCTGTTCCTAGATATGGGAGGCGAGGGCGGGAGATCAGTGGATCAGGAGTTCAAACGCTGCGAAAGGTGAGACCCAGTATTATAAATATGAAGAATTAATTGCGACTAAACTATGTAGAAAAATCGACAGCATATGCGCAATGCTGTAGTCAAGCTAATCGCGAGTGAGGAGGAGGATCGCTGAGCAGGAGTTGAGGTTGCTGTGAGATAGGCTGACGGCCACGGCACTCATCTTTAGCCTCGGGCAACAAACGAGCGCTCACGTTCAAAAGAAACCAAAAAACGATGTGTCAGGGAGGCCCAGGTAACACGCGCACGCGCACAGAGCCTTCTCCCAGAGCCGGCCTCCGAGCATTCTCTGTCTGGACCTCTCTCTCTGCCCTGCGTACCGCAGAAGGCCCGCGTGAAGGGCCCGCGCAGAGCCGCCTGCGCGAGCCAGGTTCTGGGTGGGTGCTGGGCCATGCTGCGCGGCTGCGAGTGCTGCATGAGCTGCGCCGTGCAGGGCTGGCCCCGGCCCCGCGTCACCTGGTTCAAGAACGCCCAGAGCCTGGAGGGCAACCCCGCGGTGTACAGCACCGACCTGCTGGGCGTGTGCTCCCTCGTCATCCCCAGCGTCTCCCCCGAGGACAGCGGCGAGTACACGGCCGTGGCGGAGAACACGCTGGGCCGGGCCGCCAGCTCCGCCACCCTCATCGTCATAGGTAATGCTGGCCGGCCGTCCTGGCGGCAGGCAGGGCTGGTGGGCACGGGTGGAGAGCCACAGGAGCAGCCACCGGCCTTCAGGGAGCCCCCAGAGGGGCCCGTCCCCACCCTGGGTGATGGAGGCCAGGGAAGACGCTCGCCTGCTCCTGTATGAGCGTCGATCGTTGTACCTGGCCGTCACGCTCCCTCCTGGGGGCTGGGCTTGCCCGTCTGCAAAATGAAGTATTTGGACTAGATAGGCGACTTCTTGATCTAAAAGGGGCTTGCCATCTGCCCCACCAGCCTCCCCTGGACGCTCCCAGTAGGGCCTGGCAGCGCCTTTCAGGATGAGAGATTAAGATGCTTCATCCCATGCTGCTCTCCGTCATGAACAGTGCCAGACGCCCTTGGGCATTTAGTGCCTAAAAACCCCATGCTGATTCTGTCATTACTAGTCCCCTTAAAGCAAATAATATGTGTTAATAAGAAAACATTTTCCTTCCAATAGTATTTAAAACATTTTGAATAGCAAAAAAAAAAAGCCACCCCTCAATATTTTTAATTATTCAGAATTGACATTTTGCAAAAATGGCCCTTCAGCACCGGACCGGAACGTCTCTTCTCTCCCTAGCACCTGTGCCAAGGCATTTGGGAAGCCACTTCTTCAGAGTGCCCAGACCGTTTGTAACACCACAAGTTCCTGGAAAGATGCTGGCATTCGGGGGTGGTTATGGGAAGAGGCCAGGGAAGGACTTTGCCCATGGTCAGGGAACATACATGAGGGCTCTGGATTTGAAAGCCCACCACGCCGACCTGCCTTCTGACCAGCCTGGAATAGCCCATGCTTGCAGAACCCGTCTCTAGCCCTGCCTCGCCCTGGGGTGACCCTGCATTCCTTGAAGCTTCACTCCTGCGAAACCCGCGATGGCCCCAGGAGCCAGGCCCCAAGGACGGAGCCCCAGGAAGACAGGCGTGAGGAGGCTGCGGGGAAGTTTGGCCAGGAGGACACGGAGTCCTTGGGGAAGAAAACCGGCGGGGTAGGGGGCATTAAGTCTCCCAGCCCCAAGCTGAGTCACCGGGCAGAATGACAGTGAGACTTGGGCACCCTCACCTGTGGGCCTGTTTCTTCTCCAGCTCAGGAGATCCAGAGAGCACCTGTCTACAGGGTGGGGCCGGCTCCTTGTTGTCCCGGGCTGGGCCCCTTGCGGGGAGGGCGGGAACAGCCGGGCCAGCGGTGACCACAGGGAGGGAAGAGGAGAGGAGGTCAGAGGACCTGGGTGAGGACTGGAGCGTCGAGGGCATGTGTGTGTGTGGCTGGGAGTGCTTTCTGTACTTTTCTTCATTAAAGCATTACGCTAATAACACAGGCAAATCATTTGCAAGTTAATTTGGGGTCGGTGTGTTGGAGGAGAGATTCCCCAAGCAAAGCCGCTGTCCCAGGCTGCAGCTGGGAGGACGGGAGGCCCCGGCTCTCGGGAAGAGTGGCTCGGAATTGGGCTCTTCTCCGGCAGCCCCGGCCTGCGCAGTGGATCGCAAGGGCGGGACAGCAGAGGGAGGTGGGGGGTCTGTGCAGGGGAGAGGCCTCCCCCCAGCCTGTGTCTCCTGCACTCCCCTTCTCCCAGAAATCCTGTGCTCACTGGTCTGGAGGCCTCCCCGCATCACACATGTGGGGACCACAGTGCTGGGACTGCCTAGGACTGCCCTATACCTGTCACTCCCTGGGGCCAGAAGGGTCTGGGTCAGGGACGGTCTTTTTCCAGGACCTGCCCCGTGGCCCCTGCAGAAGGGAATGAGGGAGACCATCAGGTGCATGAGAACGTGACTCGCCCATGGCCCCGCTGTCCTGTCACATGTCCCAGGTGGGACGGGTGCTCCCTTTCCCGGAAGGACCTCTGTGTGGCCCAGCACTGCCTCCACAGCTCTCGCCCTCCCCATCCTCAAGCAGGGCCCCCCACTGTCTCAGACTCCCGGGCAGTACTGCAGAGTTCCCAGGGCCCCAAGGGAGGAGGGGGCTCTGAGGAAGGCTGGGCCCCCCGCTCTCCCAGGACACAGCCCAGCGGGGCACCCGATGAGCTAGGACAGTCCGCTCTTCCCTCCCTCTGCTCAGCCCCGCGGCCGCTGCTGCCCACGGCTCCCCTCGCGCCCAGTGGCAGCCCGGGCCTGGGAAGGAGGGGCACGGTCACAGGAGGACGGAAGCCAAACAGGCCTTTCTGAGGGATGGGAATGGGTGTCTGAGGGAGAGCTTTCTGGACTGGAGAGATACTTGCCCACCCCAAACAGACCAAGGGCGCCCCCAGAGGCAGCGGCGTGGACCGGATGACGGTTGTCTATTTTGGCTAGATGCATCCTGCCCCACCACGGAAGCCCACAAGAGCCGTTTGCCTTGGGACTTCTCTTACCTCCACTTCGAGATAGGGAAGGATTTCTTGAACGAGATGCCGAAAGCAAAGCCATAAAGGAAAGTATTATAAAATTGGCAAATTAAAAATTTGACTAGGCCGTGCACAGTGGCTCATGCCTGTAATATTAGCACTCTGGGAGGCCAAGGTGGGCAGATTGCTTGAGGTCAGGAGTTCGAAACCAGCCTGAGCAAGAGCGAGACCCCGTCTCTACTATAAATAGAAAGAAATTAATTGGCCAACTAATATATAGAGAAAAAATTAGCCAGGCATGGTGGCACGTGCCTGTAGTCCCAGCTACTCGAGGTTGCTGTGAGCTAGGCTGACGCCACGGCACTCACTCTAGCTTGGGCAACAAAGCGAGACTCTGTCTCAAAAAAAAAAAATTTGACTATATTAAAATTAGGCATGTGTTTTTATCAAAAGAAAATGAAGCATGTGAAAGGATAAGCCACAGGTTAGGAGAAATATTTACCACACAAATATCCATCAAAGAATCATTGTCCATCATTAATGTCCACAAAGAACGCTTCAAATCAATCAGAAAAACATCTCAAGAGAAAAATTGGCTAAAGATAAACACACAGTTCAAACAAGAGGTAATATAAATATTGGTCCATATATGTATATATGGAAAGATGCTCAATTTCATTTGTAACTCTAAAAGTGCACATTTAAACTGCAATCATATAACATTTCACCTCTGCCAGGTTGGCAAAACTGCATAATCTGTCACAGGTGTTTGTGAGACTGCGAAGCCATGGGAACTCTTACCCATTGCTGACAGGGGTGTAAGCTGGGACACAATCTGCCATTGCCTGATCAAGTGGCCATGAGAATTGTACCCTATGTCCCAGCAATTGCACACTTAGATATATATGCTAGACAATAAATAAACCTTTGCACATGTGTCCAGTGTAAAAGAACATTCATAGCAGCATTGTGGCTATTACAGTATCTACAAACAGGAAGGAAACAACCCAATATCAATCGACAGTACAACAGGTAAAAAAGAAAATGAAATATAATAAAGGTTTGAAAAGGAACAAAGAACTTCATTCAGCAATGTGGATATGTTGCAAAAACAATTTGATTGAAAGAAACAAATGACACAAACTACATACAGTACAAATCCATTATATAAAGGTCAAAACTAAGCAAAACTAAACACTTTGTTGTTTAAGGATGCATACATACGTGGTACACTATTAAAAAAAAAAAGAAGCAAAGGGAGTCTGGGCACAGTGGCTCTCATGCCTGCAATCTCAGCGCTTTGGGAGGACAAGGCAGGAGGATCACTTGAGGCCAGGAGTTTAAGATCAGCCTGGGTAACATAGTGAGATTTGGTCTTTACAAAAAAAAAAAATTTTTTTTTCTTTTAAATAGTGGAAGTGATGGCACATGCCTGTAGTCCTAGGTACTGGGTGGCGAAGATGGGAGAATCACAGTAAGCCGTCATTGTGCCACTGCAGTCGAGCCTGGGTGAAAGACAGAGATCCTGTCTCTTGGAGAGTAAAAAAAAAAAATGCAAAGGGTCATTAAAGTAGGTATCAGGGTAGTGGTTACTCCTGGGGGGAAGGAAGAGAATAAGATTGGGGAGGGATCAAGAGGGAGGCCTTTAAAGAATTGGTAGTGGTCTATTTCTTAATTGGGGTAGTGGTAACATGGAGTTTATTTTAATATCATTCTTTAAACCAAAATAAAAATAAAACTACCTAACACACTCTTGTGTGTATGCTATATTTAACAATAAAATACGTAAAAGGAATAAATGATTGCACAAAATCTCTCTCTCCCCTCCCCGTTCCCTCCTTCCTACCTTCCTCTCACCTCTCCTGACTCACCTGAACTGATTTTCGTATGTAATATACAGTAGTTGAAAGATTGCTGTTCGATGCATTAATTCAGGTTACAAACCCAAATTTATTAGGTTTAAATGCAGATTTATTCAACTGAGTTGCATGTCTTCTGCTCCTAATTTTAAGGTGTGTGAGTGAGATGTTTCGCATGTCTAATTTTTAAACTACGTCCCTTTGCCTTTTACTCGTCCGCAATTCCTGAAGTGCAATGACTCCGCACAGGAAAAAAGTTTTTACGCCCGCATTGAATTACGAAAAATAGTGCAGAATTGTTGGAGACTGTGTACCGCGGTGAGACAGTAAAGGAGCAATGACGACTCTATTCTCATCTGACCTACCTGGAGCTCGCTGTGAGGTTGGCACCTGCGCTCCCAGCCCAGGTGCGTCCGCCTTACGCCCCGCCCACCGCACTCACCTGGCGCGGGCAGGCCCAGCCTTCCCTCCCTTTCCTCTCATTGGCTGAGGGGGCACGTCAGCAGCCAACCAGAAGCCGGTTGCTCTGACGACCTTCGCCCCGCCTTCTGGGGCTTCGCAGGCGGGCGTGCGGGGCGCCCGGGTCCCGCTGCGGTCGCGCGGCAAGGCAGGGGGTCGTAGTCTGGCCTCGTGCGGGGCAGGAGGCGGGAAGCGGAGGCCGCGGACCCTGCGGGCTGCTCCGCACGGCCCCGCGCCGGAGCCCTGGGCCGTGACCCCGCGGGCCGGCAGCTCCTGGCGGGGTGGAGGGGTGGGCGGAGCTGGGTGGGCGGAGCTGGGTGGGCGGAGCTGGTGGGCGTGGCTGGGGTGGGCGGGGAAAGCCTGGGCCCCTCCTCTAAGTCCCCGGTGTCTGTTGTCCCAGACCTGACCACCAGGGGGCGCCACAGGCTTTGCGGTGGGGCTGGAGAAGCCCTGGATGCCCAAGGTGGCCCACCCGGAGAGGAGAATGGGCACTTTGTGACATCGGGGACAGCCTAGGGGCAGAGGAGCAGAGAGGGACGGAAAGTGGGGCTGGAGCAGGGGTGGAGCGGTGGCGCCAGCAGGCTCTCCTTCTCCCCTGCCCTCCCCCAGGGCTGTCTGTGTGGAGGCCCAGGAGTCTGTACCTGGCCCCAGGTGAGGGGTGTCTCCTGCCCCAGCCCCTTCCCCTGCCCTGCCTCCATGGTCCTCAGCCTGGGCAGACCCCAGCCTAGTTCGTCTGGAGGTCGAGACTCGGGCTCTGGGGACCATGAAGCTTCAGAGCGGTGGCCGGGGGGCGGCCGGGGGTCCTGGACCGTGCGTGTGAGGGAGGGGACCAGCCCGGAGCCATCTTCCCTCTCCTACTGCTCCTGGGCCGCTTGGCCTTCTTACCTGTCCTCGAAGCACCTTTCTGCCCCCTGCCCTGCTGGCTGCCGGGTGGGATGCCGGCCCTCCTCCTCTTCCTCTCCCTGCTGGACACAGCGCAGAGCCCAGGCCGCATGGCAGGCTCTCCCCACGTCTCCCCTGCACCACTGCTGGGGTTGCCCTGAGGGTCCACGAGACGTGCTAGGGGCTCGGCCAGAACGGAGCTCCCTCAGGACCTGGGTTCGGATGGCCTGAGCAGGACACAGAGTGTCCTGTCAAGGGACAGGGGTGGCTGTGGACAGGGCTGGAGGCAGGGGACCGAGGCCAGGCCTTACCAGGGGTCTAGGCCGGGAGCTGGCACCGGGCTCCTGGGCCAGGCCTTCTCTCTGGGGATGGAGCTGGGCCCTTCCCTCCACTCTTGCCCTCCCCAGCCGCAGGCCGCCGGGCGGGAGGAGAGGCACCTCGGGGTGTGGCCCCGGCTGCTGACAGTGATGTCGCACTTCTGGGACAGGTTGTCCTGGTGAGGCACCCTCGATGTGGGGACAGGCTCCACAAGGGTGGGGCCCTGAGGGAAGGGGGCGGGGGCTCTTCTTGATGCTGCAGGAGCGGCCTGGGTGGCTTCCTCCCGTCCCAGAGTGGCCGTCTCCTCCCGTGGCTGCTACCTGCAATCTCCACCTGCCCCTTGGGGGACGGGCTGCCCAGCAGAGCCCCAGACCCCGCTGCAGGCCCTGCCGCCTGCACCCCACCCATGACTGTTCTCTGCGTGGACATCCCCCTCTCCCAGGACACTCAGCCCCGTCCCTCCGTCCCCCTCACCTCCTCCC